GTGTTTTTTTGTTTTTTTGGTCTAGAAAGTGCCCCAGCCTTGAGATACCATCATTGAGGTGATCGGCCCCAGGTAAATGAGAGTTATTTTATGTTATTCTGAATTATTTTGTGTAATTCAAAATTAGTTTATTCTGTCCTGTCGGGTCTGTATTTCCACAGTTCATCGGTGTACCGATGGGCCTAGGGCTAGGCCCATCGGTTTGTTCCAATTTCAATGGATGTGCCTTTACTCGCCTGAACAGATTACATATGGTTCAAAGAATCAAAACCGAAAGGAAAAGACTCATATTATAGGCAAAAAAAAAAAAAAAAAAAAAGCTTAATGCAGGTTTGTCGCCAGCCCCGTTTGGATAAGCCCCTTCAAGCTGCATTCATGCCCCCTTCTTCCCCCAAATGGAAAAAGAGCCTGGATCCATTTGGGGGAAAAAGGGGGCCCCAGCTGGGTCAAGAAACTTTAAGGGCCCATCAAAAAAATAAAATCAGGGAGTGTCCACATGCCCAGGCCCCAGAGTGCAATCCCACTGCCAGCGCGATTAGATGGGAAGAGGGTACTGCTAGTGGTGGTTTACTCTTTTAAATTTATATAAATAAGTAATGAAAAGGAGATTCAAAAGCACTCCAAGAAAACTGTTTTCCTTTGACTCCGTTTTTTTTCCATTTTCTCGAGATGGAGAAAAGGGGTACTGCTTTCACCCGTTTGTTTCCTTTTTTTTTTTCTTTTTTTTTTCCCCAAAAGAGGCCGCAAGCATCACCCGGCTTATCGTTTCATTTTTGTTGGGGTCTGCTAACCGAAGTGCTTGGGAAGTTTTGCGGTGGAGATGGTGGTGGTGGCGTCTTTTCAAATTTTCTCATTTCTTTTCATTTCATTCATTTTAAAATTTAATTAATAATTCATTGGTTCTTAATAGCAAGTGACTCATTTATTTTATTTCTCTTTTTTTTCTAATCTATTGAAGCTGGTCAGAACTTTAACATATGATGATGATACCACTGCTTCCAGATCCTCCATCAATTTTGCTAAAATTGTTACTTTTTTCTTTTTCCTTTTTTCTTCCGTCTCTCTTTTTTCTTTTTTCTTTTTTGGATGATGGTGGTGATGGACAGTTAGTTTCCCTTTTTATTATTTTCTAAAATTGTTACTTCTTTTTTTTTTTTTTTTTTTAAATAGATTTAGCTTATGGTGATCATACCTTTGCTTCCAGATCCTCCATCAATTTTGCTCCATCCTCATAGCATCCCAACATGAGCAAGGCGTACGCCCGTCTGTAATGACTTTTCGTGTTCGAGGGATCGAGCTCTTGAGCTTTCTTGGCATGCGTCCAAGCCTTCAGCCATTCCTTTGTTGCCATGTGCACAGCGGATATGTTTCGGTGAGCGGCTGCGTCCTCCGGATCACGTTCCACGCAGATCTCGTACAGGGCAAGGGCTTCTGTGTACTTGCCGTTCCTGGAAGGGCAATGGGGAAAGGAATATGCAGGGAGGAGGAGGAGGAGGAGGAGGACGAAGAGGAGGAGGATGAGGAGGAGGAGTAGGTGGAAGAGGAGGAGGAAGACGAGGAGGAGGAGGAGGAGGAGGAGGAGGAGGAGGATTGACGAAGCAGAAAGAAAAGAGGAGGACTGAGCTGAGGGAAGAAAAGCAGAGGAGGAGGAGGCAGTAAATGCGAGAGGGCAGAAGAAGAAGATGCGAGTTGGGCCACGGAAACGGCACACACACACACACACACACACACACACACAGAGAGAGAGAGAGAGAGAGAGAGAGAGAGAGAGAGAGAGAGAGAGAGAGAGAGAGAGAGA